CGTCGGTGGGAGTAACGAAATAATTTGGATATATCAACAAAGTTGAAATGGTAAATTGGCCACGGTAACGATTACAAAAGCTGACGTTTCGAGCGTTAGCCCTTCGTCGGAGCCCTTCGCTCCGACGAAGGGCCAACGCTCGAAACGTCAGCTTTTGTAATCGTTACCGTGGCCAATTTACCATTTCAACTTTGTTGATATATCCAAATTATGACTTAATGAATGACCGTCGGATCGACTCAATCACTGACCATTAAACAATTGACTAACTGGTGGATCGACATAACTGCGTGGCTGACTGATCGACGGACTGGATAACTGAGTGACAGACTGACTGACCGTAATACCGACTAAATTCAGTTCTGACTATTTAACAATTGATTTATTGGCGGATCGACATAGCATAGGCTGACTGACTGACGGACTTAGTGCCTGACTGAATAATTGAATGACTGACTGACTGACGACTGACTGGCTGATTGACGGATTAGTGAGTGACCGACGGACTTAGTGACTAACTGATTGACGGAGTTAGTGACTGACTGGATGAACGATTGACTGACTTACTCACTGTCTTATTAACTTAGGCGTTTAGCAGAGGAAAGTAAAGAATTGTCTCACTTTTACACACCCTTTGCTGTACAAGACGTCTCCGCTGGGATCAACAGATATTCTGCTGTGCAGTTGTGTATCTAACATCATCATATTTGACTCCCGGGCGTTATAACAATAGGGATCTGGTACCCAGATTTTGTCGATATCAGCTCCGCTTATGGTAAGCGTGTAATTAAGTCTTCCAGCTAGGCGTGAGTCTTTCCATCGTTGGCGAAAGTAACCGTATATTAAATACTCCTGTTCACGAAAGGAAAGAAAAATAAAGGCTATGAAAATAGCGATAAGCAAAGAAACAGTTCATTAAGTTGTCATTCAAGGACCCACCATTTATCGCCTGAGAAAGAGGGAGGATGGGTAGGGGAAGAGGGGGAATGAGGGGGTAGGGGAACAGGGGAATGAGGGGGTTTTTTT